AAAGGAAGCGAAGAAGAAAAGGAAGCGAAGAAGAAAAGGAAGCGAAGAAGAAAAGGAAGCGAAGAAGAAAAGGAAGCGAAGAAGAAAAGGAAGCGAAGAAGAAAAGGAAGCGAAGAAGAAAAGGAAGCGGGCGGCTACCTGTGTTTTCCTATAGAATTAGCTAATTAGCTATTTTTTGGATTGGAATCACGCCACCAACATTGATTTCATTGCGTAAACGAAGACCTTGTTATAGAAGTACCTGGTGGCTGCTCACTAGTGAAATACGTTAGCTTCCCTTACTACTTACTAACCAATCAACGCTGGATGTACTCTACTATAAATGTGGGGGGTGACATCGGACAAAGAAATCTCGGTGGTCGGGAGTTAAGCGACCAATCTAATAGTAATAGTATGAAGCGACAGAAGGGATCATGTTTTCAATATGATTTAGTGGGCTAGAAGAGAACACGCTAGAGCCTAATCTCGGTTGAAACTCTTCGGAGTATGTACATTGGGCCCTTGGAAATTGCACATCTTGATTCCAGATGACAGATCCACACTTGTCCAGTGCCCTCCTGGGCAGGGATCCTCGGGGCATTATCCATTTTGTCTTCTCGGCTGCCTTCTCGCCCCAGAGTTTCCGGATGCACTGGGGGCTTTCTCTATAAACCAGGAGACAGCCAGCAAGGATCCCTCACCTGTAATCCAACCCGGCTGGAGGCCCTGATTGTCTCCCATCTCAAGCAGTTATGCAACGCGCAGGGCCAGCCTTGTCCTTAACGGGTCTGTTGAGAATCTGGTTTTCTCTCAGCAGTCCTGTTCAAGGCGCCTTCAATTACTACGAAGGCCTAGAGCCCAGTGTTGTGCAGAAAGCCTATACCCTATCCGATCAGTGTCTTGGGGCCTTGTGAGCTTTCCGGTCTTCTTACCACGAGAAGAGCGCATGCTAAACCATTGACTCAGAAACCGGACAGTAAATTGCGACAGTCTAACAGCTTTCCAAGCCTCCAGGAACCCAGAACAATTCCGTAAATACATTGATTTCCGTGCACATACTTGACCTCTGTTTTCTGCGCTGACGTTGACTACAGGGTGGACCGAATCAAATGTCACTGCACTTTGTACTACAGACTGTGCAAATTCATTGTCTGCATGGCTGGCAGCGGTAGAGAAACAGTGTAATGACGAAAAGTTGCTATCTGCAGGGGGCTACCTTTTGGCAAAATCAATCCCCACTGACTATCTGCAAGGCCATGAACTGGTCTGTCAGCAGGATAGGTATACATAGGTGAATGGTCTAGATTATCTACCTGCTAACCGAATCACCATGTAGTTCATCGAACTGGTGCTACCTTGAGTCTCGAATGTGGCAAGGCAGTAACTATATCCGGTACGAGAACCCCTGCATCGATTCAATGATAAACTATTGGCTAATATCAGGGCAGCTACTCAGATATGGCATGTCATAATGAAAACGAGGATGAGATGCCGCCTGAATGTAACGACCCGTGGTTTTCAACATCGTTCATCACACCGGAGATGAAGGACATCACGCGCCTCTATGACAAGGACTTGGTGAGCCCTCAGCGGCATGGCCAATATAGGTAACCTCTGGCTAATGTTTCTACAGCTATGTAGCGAGTGTTTCGTCCAAATCTGGAAACAGCGACTCATGTCATCTAAACTCCCCAAAGACGAGTTTACAGATTACCTCTTGGAGCAGTATGAATCAATCCAGAAATTCTGCTCCGTATCACTGCCCGTTTCAACCTACAGCTCGACTCTTTTCATTCGGCTTACCATCCCGACTTCTACCGTGCCTGCCACTACCGTTCCCAGTACCCCAGCCACAACCGATACCTGCGATGGACAGCTTGTGGAAGCAGACGACGATATACGACTGCCATGCCTCCGAATGTCTGATACTTACAATGTCAGCACAGGAACACTTGAGTATATTACCGGCTCATATAGTTGTTCTTTCGAGGGTGTAATATGTCTCCCAAAACCCTGTGAGCTGGATATTGTCTATAGGAGTAATACTTGGTAAGACTTTTAATCCGGTTACTACTCGGTAAAAGTTTAGTTCTTGTACTGACAGCACCTACAGCGAGGCGCTTGCAGCCAAGTACTCGACCGATGAGTCACCCGTGTCTCTGACACAGTTTCTGGCATGGAATCCGTATATTAAAGGTACCTGTGACCGCGTAAATCATATTCAGAGAATATGCAAAGGGTCAGTGGTATTATGGAATTTCATCGCAAGACAAGGTACTGATGGATCATAAACAGCCCTCCAGGTGGTCGCTTTAAGCCTTCTGGTGTAATAGCCGTACCGACTGGGCCAGGCGAATATTTTACAACAGGTAGCGATATCCTTGAGGTGAACAGGGAATTTGATTAACAGGACCACTTAGCTCACCCTGCGGAACCGACACAGCCTGGCACCACCGAGAGTTGTAGCCGGTACTATAAGGTAGCATCTGGAGATACGGTATGAGGGCCTTCCTCCCATAGCAATATCTATATTATCGGGATCTAACGCTGTATAGTGCAACTCTATCGCCCTTCGATTGTGGGTTTGCTCGTACCCTCGTGTTGATTACAGTATTGACCAAACGAGATAGTGGCATTACCGTTCCCGATTTACAGGATCTAAATACCCAGGCCAGTAACCCAAGAGCGAGCGTCTCAGCTGCTTTTATAGACTGACATTTTCTTAATAGATCTGGAATAACTGTACCAATCTCTGGCTCGACTATGATGTCTGCGTGGCTCCTGTATCCGCAACTACTGCGTCCGAGAATGGCACATGCGGGCCATCTTACAGTAACACTATCTGTGAAGGGTCCTCATTTGGAGAGTAAGTAATGAATGGTCTACACCAACGCGGGATATACCCCGGAGATTTTATCATTAACAATGCCAACCCTCAGCTGCTGCTCCACGAGTGGATACTGCAGAACCGGGATTGAATACTGCAGCCCTGGCCACTGTGTATCTGGCGCATGCGAACCTAGTAACGGCGCCACGACCAACGGGACCTGTGGTCCGGACTGGGGCTATACAACGTGCAGTAATCCAAGCTTTGGCCCGTAAGCAAACCTTCTCACCTTTTCCTATTTCCCTTTTTCCCCATTCCCCTTCCGTCTTCCTTTTCCTATCCAGCTCACCCGGCGGTAAGTTCGCTGCTGACGCTTTATTTCTCTGTACGCACCAGTTGCTGCTCCGTCTACGGGTACTGTGGCGAGGGCAAGGAATTTTGTGGGCCGGGACTATGCTACTCCGGGGAATGTGACCCAGACATGGGAGGCCCGAGCATTAATGGAGAGTGTGGCCCCAGCTTTGCGGGGAACAAGACTTGTACTGGAACCCATTTTGGAGACTGCTGCTCGGTGAATGGGTATTGCGGGAGCTCTAACGACTATTGTGGTGTTGGGAACTGTTACTCTGGTGCTTGCAAGTCTTGAATTTAAGGGAATCCTCTACCGGCACACCCCTCTGGCTACCCTGTTGAGGTGATGTGTTGTTCTATTGGTCATCTAATCCAAGCGGAGTATAAGACCCCCTGAATGATCACGTGACTCTAGGACTATAGTTGATCCACGCCGGAGGAAGATCCTCGGATGCTGCACGCTGGCATACGCGCACACCCCACGTGACTATTTAGGCTTAGTCAGTGTGGCAGAAATAACTTAACGTGATTCCCGGCCGACCGGTCATCCCGGTCGACCGGTCACCTCATCAAAACTTCAAAAAAATCACAATTTTCAACAGCGGATTTAGAACCAAAACAATAATAAAATTGACTATCTAACTCTCTCAGGACATTGGTTAATCCTGTGTCCTTTCGTATTACAGCCAGAACAAGTAAATTCGCGGCGAATAGTAGACATTTGAGGTAATTCAGGTTCAACCATGGCTTCTGTAGAAGTTGGATCCAAAGATATATAATCACTACCACCGTTTCTTTCAACACCAATATTATCCTGAATCTCTTCTAACTTTCTTAGACTACCCTTGTGAGCAGTCTGCTTTTTATGTTTCATTCTTTTTCTTGCTTGCTTCTTATTTGTTTCTTCTAACTGGCGGCATCGATCGGAAAGAAAAAGATAGTGATAAAGCAATCGGACTGTCATATTGTAATGGTGCTGAATCTCTCTTTTTGTAGGTGAAGAGAGATTATCGGATGAAGGTTCTAGGCCTAAATCGATGCGAGATTTAGATTTATCTAGCCTTTTAAGTGTCCAGAGAGAATTGGAATCGCTATCACTGCCGGAAGATGGTGGTCGATTTGGTAGTAGTTCAAGAGGTATTAAAGATTCAAGCTGAATATTCAACTTTTCTAACACATGATCCGGATTAAAAGGGACTAATCCAGTAGCTAAAAAGCTATTCCGAATAGTAGTCTCTTTAAAAGTGTCATATCGCACTCCAGAAAAGATATCCAGGAAATCTTCTTTTTCAATCGAATTGATGTTGAGTCTCATGTATTCCGCCACCTTGCCTCCGTATAAGCGTTTTAAAATCGCAAAACAGCCTATATCAAGTGGCTGTAAAAGATGCGATACATGAGGTGGCATACAAATAGGGATAATATCATTTTCAGAGCATAGCTGGTCAAATTCCGGAGTAAGATGACTCCCATGACCATCTAGTACTAGAAGACAATGTTTTCCCTTTCTTGATCGTATATTTGGAATAAAATGTATTTTTAACCAATCAAGAGCAATCTTATCGCTTGTCCAACCATTTTTCGAAACATTAACTCGCCAGTCAGCTTCGTTAGGTAGAAAATTGAACCAACGATGCTTGAACACCTTGCCTTTGAAAATGATATATGGCGGTAGAGCGACTCCAGAAGCCCTTATACATTCAATTACAGTAACCCATTCGCGATTTCCAGCTTGTAAAAGAGCTCTCCGACCATGATAATCAGCAGAAGTAACGATTTTTTAGGTAGTATTTACTCCTATCGCAAACCCAGATTTATCGAAGTTGAAGATATCATCCGAGTCGATACCATATTTTTGAATGGTTTCTTCAACCAGTTTAAACCATGGCAGGATAATTCTGGGATCTTCAGAAAGAGCTCTCTTATAGTCATATTTGCGAGATAGACGTGTTATAAGATTTGGACGACGTTTGACGAATTCTGTAGGCCAATTTTTTCCAACAGAAAGGGTGGTGGTAGAGGTTGTCTTTTTGCGCGATTGGAGTAGTAAATTGGCCATATTTCGCAATATAGGCAAATTGAAAGCTGCGCCTCTCGAATCCATAGAGACTAGCCAATCTTCAATTGAACTTTCTTCAAGCTGAGTAAATTTATGGCCATTTGACCACATATTATGCTTGTTTTGGCGACCCTTTATTCGAGCTGAGAGGGTAGTACGTGGCACTTCAAAAGAGCGGGCAGCAGCAGCAATAGAGAGAATTCTGCCATTTTTAATAGCTTCTACAGCAAGTAGAAGACGACCCTCTTGCTCAATCAATTTTTGTGTTTTCTGGGGTCTTTTTGGAGGCATGGTGGTGGTTTAAAAAATGTAAACAATGGTTGCTAAGGGAAAATTTGATGAGGTGACCGGTCGACCGGGATGACCGGTCGGCCGGGAATCACGTTAACTATGTGGGTCTACCGAGAAGCGATTATTCACTCATGATACTATAGAGTAGACTTGAAACAACTCCGATTGAAACGACTCCTAGTATCTACGAAAAGGTAGATGATAAAAACATACTTTATTTGTTGCAGCCCTCCGAGTTGCTACCGGTCTATCTTCACCTCGAGTCCGTCCTCCTTGTTTCCTAATCTCTTCAACCTACTACACTTACAATCACTTTGATCGTCCGAATGATGCATATTCATCAGGTACTGCACTGTTTATTGAATGGTGATTTTTTAGAAAGAAAAAAAGGAGGGCCTGAACCGCGAATCGAACGCGGAGCCTCTTGCAGTTTAGATGTTGTATCCCAAAGCAAGAATCATACCTGGATTAGTCAGCAATTGTTTGCCAGATGGTGGGGTCATATGAGCTTACCATTAGACCATTCAGGCACAGAATAGATACAGTGGCTTCCTTTTGTTTCAGAGAGACAGTGAATTACTCACTCTATCTTCGTTTGAAGTTCCGGATGTAAGATAACTGTCAGGTAGACAAATACCCCTACTTGCTCCATGAGGGGAGATAGTATGCGGTGTAAAACGGAGTGGTTTTATATTCAGCATCAAAGAGACATCGGACTTGGGTTATATATTGATTTATGGTTATTGTATTAATTTTTAAGCAGGTAGAAAAGGTGCCACGGAGTCACCTGCATCAATCGGTCACAGCGAGCGACCGCGGTTGCAGGTGACTCGACCTCATTGAAGTGGGTCGGGCGAGCTGGATCCACCAATGACTAAGTCTAGTTAGTGTTAGTTAACTAGTTGTAATCTAGAGGCAGAACAGCTAGTTCAAGAGGTAGGTTAAATTACTATAGAGTACTTGATAACTGCTTACGAAGTACTTAGG